AAACAAAAGCCTCAACAACAGAAAAAGAAGGAGAAAGCATCGGCTTACTCAACAGCTTCAGATGAAGAACTTGAGGGCAGTACATCCAAAAAATCATCCATGGAAGGAAGGCCACAAAGAATGACAAGAAATAGAAATGGTATTAACAAGAATCGACCACAATGGACCTATCAACAATCAAGATATTTTCGGCAAATGTAAATGGACTAAATTCACCTGAGAAAAGACAAAATATAATTAAACAACTTAAGAAGATAGATCCCCATATCATATGTTTGCAGGAAATGCATATTAGACGTAAAAATGAACACTATCTGGTCAATAAGAAATTTGGTAAGTTATTTACTGCTTTGGACAATGTAAAGAAAAGAGGACTACGTGTCTATGTTAAAGAAAAACTGAAACCTATTTCAGTATCTTCATTAGAAAATGTAAGACTTCTTCTACATGAAATAGATATTAGAGACAGGAAAATTCTATTGGTGGTGATATATGCACTGAATGAATCATGGGAAATTTTTTGTAGTGGTGAAAGAAACTATAACAAAATATGATTACATGGATATGTGTATGATCAGTGATTTTAATTCTGTTTCTAGTTTAATTCCTGTTCCTAGACAGGAAAACTATTAAGAAGATTAAGACTTCTAAAGGCTTACTTCCAAGATCTTTCTTAGAACTGGCTGAAGAATACAAATTGATTGATGTTTGGAGAACCACAAACCCAACTGGAAAAGACTATACTTTCTATTGTGATAGACATAAATCTTGGTCCAGAATTGATATGTGTTGGATTACATCAAATCTCTTTCAGGAAATTGAAGATATTGATATTATGCCACAAACGTTTGCAGATCACAACCCACTACTATTGAAGATTAAAGATAATCCAAAAAAATTTATCTGGAGGTTGAATACACAATTACTTATAAATGGACAATTTCTAGAGATGGCTAAGAAAGAAATGAAGACTTTTAAAAAACAAAATATGAATGGAGAGACATGGATGAAGATGGTTTAGGACGCAAGCAAAGCTTTTTTTAGAGGACTGGCAATTAAATTTGCAGCAGGAAAGAAAAGGGAAGGAATGAGAATATTTCAAGATATATTGGATGCGATTCAGAATAAAAAGAAATAATTAAAGCTGTAGCCTTCAAATGAGAATTTAAAGACGAAGATTAAAATACTTCAGCATCACCTTAATCTATTCTTATCAGAAGAAATGGCAAAAAATATTAAATTTGCTAAACAGGATTATTTTGAAAAGGCCAATAAACCAGGATGATGGTTGACTTATAAATTAAGAAAAGAGAAAGAGAAAAAGATGATCCATTCATTGTATGATAAAGGTAGAAAAGAAGAATTTCTAAGAATGGATTAAAGGAAATAATTCAAGATTTTTATATGAAACTATATAAAAGAACGGAAATCTCCAAGGAAATCCAGAAACAGTATTTTTGTTAACAGGACTTACCCACACTATCGGAAGAAAGCAGAAACGTGATGAATGACCCTATAACAATGATGGAAATTACAGACTACAAAATTTATGACTATAAAATATTTGCAACTATTTTGGCTGTAAGATTGAATTTTTTTAAATAGACTTTATACATCAGGACCAGGCAGGTTTTCTACCTAAGAGACAACTAAAGAATAATGTGAGAACCATTTGGTGTAGTGGTTAAGTGCGCGGACTCTAATCTGGGAGAACCGGGTTTGATTCCCCACTCCTCCACTTGCACCTGGCTGGATGACCTTGGGCAAGCCGTTGTTCTGATAAGAGCTGTTCTTGAAAAAGAGCAGTTTCTGTCAAGAGCTCTCTCAGCCTCACCTACCTCACAGGGTTTCTGTTGTGGGGAGGGGAAGGGAAAGGAGTTTGTAAGCCGCTCTGAGACACCTTTGGGTAGTGAAGGGTGGGGTATAAATCCAATCTCTTCTTCTTCTCTTCTTCTTTTAAATATCTTAGAATACTACGAAACTCATCCTGAGAAGAAGATGGCTTTGATATTTTTGGATGCTGAAAAAGCATTTGAGAATGTCAGCTGGCAATTTATTATTCAGCAGATGGTAATGGATTTCGGGATTAATTTCATAAGGGCGACTGAAGCTATATACATAAAGCAGAAAGTGAAAGTAGTAGTAAATAATGAATGGACTGATGGTATATCGATTGAAAAAGGGACAAGACAAGGCTGTCCAATATCTCCATTGTTTATATTAACTTTGGAAGTTCTGACAAGAGCTATAAGGAAAGATCCCCTTATTAAAAGGACATCAGTAAGAGGAAATAAATACAAACTACTTTGCTGATGATTTGGTATTTATCTTGGAAGATCCATTGGATTCTTATACAACAACTGATGAATTTGATTAATGAGTATGGGAAAATGGTGGGAATGAAAATAAACTATCAGAAGATGAAAATGATTATGAAAAATATGACATTGAAACAAAGACTTGAAATAGCAGCGTTGACTGGATTTCAACTGGAGAAGAAAGTCAAATATTTGGGTATTAATATTACAGTGAAATGTAGGTCCCTGATGAAAGACAATTATAACAAAGTGATGCAAGACATTTAAAAGGTTTTAGAGAAATGGAAAAATTTGCAAGTATCACTAATGGGCAGAATAGCAATTTTTAAAATGAATGTTTCATCACGTATGATATTTTTATTTTAGACACTACTGATATATATTAAAATTATTTTGATGAATTGAATAAACTGACACAGAATTTTATATGGCAAGGGGAAAAACAAATAATCAAATTGAAAGCCTTGCATGATGTGAAAGATAATGCTGGATTTGGAGTACCAGACTGGAAAAATTATTATAGAGTAGCAAGTTTGATTTGGCTTAGAGAATAGATTCTACTTGAAGATCATAGGCTACTGGCTCTAGAAGGACATGATTTAAAACTGGGATGGCACTCCTTTCTATGGTATGGGAAAGCTTCTGGACATAAATACTTTAAAAACCATATGATAAGAAGATCATTACTGACAATGTGGGAAAAGATTCATCCACTGATATATACCAAAATTCTAAGATGGGTGTCTCCAGTGGAAGCCTTTTCTCAACCAACTTTGACTTCACAACAAGCAGTTGTTAGATACACAGAATTATTAGATGATGAAAATAACTTAAAATCTGGAAGAATTAAAGAAAAATGAAATAAACTTAGACTGGTGGACTAGAATGCAAGTGGAATCTAGATATAGTAAAGATAAACAGGCAGATGGATTCTATTCAGAACAATGTGCATTTGAAAAATTATTATGTAAAAGAGAGAAACTTATTAAGAAAAAGTATGGTATGTTGATGCAATTGAAATTGCAGGATGAAATAGTTAAAGAGTGTATGGTTAGATGGATGCAAATTGTGGGTCATAACATAGATCTGTTACAGTGGAGTAAAATATGGAAAGTAAATATCACGTTGACTAAATCTGTTGCATTAGAAGAAAACCTATATAAAATGTTTTATAGGTGGCATCTAACCCCAGATAGGTTAGCTAAAAAAATTGAGTAATATGTGTTGGGAATGTAATAAAACAAAATAAATCTGGACAAACACGACCCAATCAGTAAACAAGTATAAAGCCAACAGTCGTGATAGTCTGACCCACAAATCAAACAGACATTAAGACTTATAAAGAGTGCTATCTATGTATTACAATCTGAAGCACTACAACATGATAAACAAATCATAAGAAAATCCTTGAACCAAGGTACATAATCAACGTCATCTCCGGATTATATAACAACATTTCAAAAAAATGGATCTTCTTCAGGAGATATTCTGTAGTGTACAAAAAAAAAATTTTTTTAGAATACATGCTACACCAATAACAAAAGACAATACAATAATATTAGTGCTTACTTAAATAATGGTGCCAAAGCGCTCTGTTTCATAAATGCTAGACAAGAAGTCTTAAGAAATCTGTAATATAGTAATATTCCCTTTGTTATGAAAACATACAAGATATTTCAAATTACAAAGTATTTACAACTAATCAACCTAGTAGTAACTTACATTAAATTCAGATAGGATGCTGATCTCAGTTAACATTCAGGCTCAAAATATGCTGCTATGTTTCTAATGGATCCCGGGCGTCTTTCTCTGGTGATTGCTACCAGAGTGCAATTAAAGGGACCTTGCAGATTGCCGACAGGTGGTGGGTAGTAGGAGGCAGTACACTTAAAGACAACATCATATAGTTTACAACAAACATCATATAGTTTACAACAAACATCATATAGTTTACAACAAACATCATATAGTTTACAAAAAACATGAAAGGTCCATTTCTGCATTCAGTCCATTTGGAGATACACTGTTCACTGTAATAACCATATTGGGTCGTATTGTCATATGTGGTGGACATGTAAAAAGGTTCATAAATTCTGGATTGAAGTGCATACCTGTTTACAGTCAATCTTGAATATCACAATACCTTTTAAGCAGATAATATTTTTGTTAAATTGTCTACCAGATGAGTTAGATAAGAATCATAGATATTTTATTTTACATGTTATAACAGCTGCTAGAATTCTATTCGCAATGACATGGAGGACACTTGAAGATATCAACGCTTCATGAGTTGATATTAAAGATTATGGAATGCACTGAAATTGACAAGTTGACAAACATATTAAAAGGAAAAATGGAAGAAGAATTTATGAGACCCCGGAGGGTGTTTTATGACTGGTTAAAACTCAAATTTTGAGAAAACAAGATTAAGTGAAGAATAATAACAATGATAGATGAAATAGCTGTGAAATTGTAATAATAAAATATTCATGCAGAGTACTAAATTGGAATTTTGTATACTTTTATACTTTTCTCTCTCGCGCTTTCCCCCTTCCACCTCTTCTTTATATAAACTAATAAAATTCTAGAAAGAAAGAAAGAAAGAAAGAAAGAAAGAAAGAAAGAAAGAAAGAAAGAAAGAAAGAAAGAAAGAAACCCTCTAATGCCTCTTTTTTCATGCAGGTGAAAGCTCTACTGAATGACATCCTGGAGAAGCTGACTGATGAGTTTAACATTCCAGAGCTGATGGCCAAGGTGGAAGAGAGGACACCATACATTGTTGTTGCATTCCAGGAGTGTGAGCGAATGAATCTGCTGACAAGTGAGATCCGGCGGTCGCTGAGGGAGCTGGACTTGGGACTAAAGGTAGGGGGCTGTTGGTTGTGTAATTATGAAGATTTTTGAATGAAGTTTATTGAGATAGGGGAAGTATCCCAGCTGTGGATTGTGATCTATGTAACTAGGTACACAAGTTTTTCTGCACAGGGGTGGAATACAGTTCCCCCAGTGCTAAAGCAGCAGCAAGTAGCATGGAAGTAGATCCACATGACCTATTCCTGTGCTGCTTGCTTCTGTTGACACCCCCCACCTCCTCCTCTTTGCCTTCATTCCATTGGTGCAAAGCAATGACAATTGTGATGGTCCCCAGCAATGACAGTAGAAGCCACAAATGGTTACCAGGTCCTGGACTAGAGACCTCATAGCAATTGGTCTGATATTTAGCCTGTTCACTTCCTTTCTGTCACTCATCTTTTGTTTAGGCCTCATGTGTTTCCTCTGCCCTTTTCCTCCAACCCTCTGTCCTTCCTTAAGATTCTTCTTTTGGTTAGTCCCCTGTTCTGTTTTGCACCATTCCTACAATCCTCTGGGTTATTTGTCATTTAGCTCAGGAATTAGGTGTGCATATAGAAATAAGCAAGGGGAGGAACTGTGCAGTTTCCAGTAGTTTAACACACATTTTCTTATGCCTCTCTTTTGACTTAACAAAACTATTAAAATATATTTTAATGTATTGTGGTATGTTTTAAAATTTTTGCTATAAGCTGCTTTGAGAACCTTGTATTGACTGAATGCATGGGATAGAAATGGTTCAAATGGGGGCGTGGCAGCAGAGCTTCTGGCTGGCTACATAATGCCCTCTCTCCCAATACTCCCTCTGGATAAACTAGAATTTATCTGAAAATATCATATGGACTTAAATGTACGGCACAAGGTCTATGATGGGAAGAGTCAGGGGTAAGAAAGGTAGTAAAAAAAAACCCCATATAGATCACCACGGAGACCACAATCTGAATCAGAAGAAGAACTGGAGCCGGGGCTATGCTTGTTAGAGGAAATGGCGGCCGGAGGAGCTGAATATGACCCCAGCTTTCAAACAATGATTATGCACATCCTCACAGAAATGAAAAATGAATTTAGTAAAGGAATTGACTCAATAAAAGGTGAGATTGGACATTTAAAAACAGAAGTAGGACAACTTTAAAAAAGTAGTAGAACCAATGAACAAGAAAATAGAATTGACGTCAGCAATGAGAGAAATAGACAAGAAAGCAGAAATGGTTTATCAAGCTACCGCAAAGACAGACAGAAACAAAAGCAGTCAAGGACTTCGAGACGTGGGCAAAGAACAAAATTATATTGCAGGACATTAAACTAAGAGAACGTAGAGCTAAGATTAGAGGAGTCTCAACAAAATACTAACCAAAAGAAGACTTGCTTACCTCTTTAAATCTCTGGCTTTCATTTTTGCTGGGACTGGCAGATAGAATCATAGAATGTTAGAGCTGGAAGGCACCTTGCAGATCATCTAGTCCAAAACGTGATTACAGCAGCTTACCGTTTGGCTGTGTCAAAGACAGCCCCATCTGGAGTATTTTCGGACATTCTAGTTGAATTTGTAGATATCCAGCCCAAAGAGCGGCTGTTTCAAATCGCCAGAGAAAAAGAGGGCCTGCAATTGGAAGACACCATGGTCTTTATGTATGCAGATTTGCCTCCAAAAATCCTTGCAGCAAGGAGACGGATGCGGGAGGTAGCAGTAAAACTAAAAAACAATGTTGTTAGGTTTTGTTGGTTGCCCTTAGGCCATATAATCGTGCATCTTGACAGGAAAAACTTACACAGCCTTTGATGAGGCATCTGGTAAAAAGCTTTTTGCTGCATGTGTAAAATTGTAAGAGATCAGAGAATAGTTTGGAATTTGGTTTGTTTAGAGACGGTTAGTTGAAAACTGACAAAGATATGAGGCTCCCAAGAACCAACTCAAGGAACAATTCAAAGATAAAAATGTTACATTTTATGCATTTAATCATTTTGTAATAATATGGAATATTTACTATGATTTGTAATTTAGTTTAAAATAAAACAGAGCCTTTTTCTAAAATGGTAAGTAATAGATAGGGTTTATAGTGCTATGGTATGAGAAGGCAATTAACTAATTCTAACTTCAAACAGTGGGCGTAATGAGGAGGGGGGTGCCCCCCCAGTAAGTCCTCTCACACAGGGAATGAGAGGCAGCCCCATTGGGTTTTCCTTTTTAGGTGAAGCTGGATTTTCTGAAGAAGAAAATTATTTATTTATTAGATTTCTATCCCGCCCTCCTGGCCTAGGCCGGCTCAGGTCAGCTCACAACAGAATAAAATCTCAACAATATGATCACATAAAACCATAATTTCATAAATACAGTATTAAAACTCAAACATAATAACATAATAAAGTGCTAGTACATTCCTCGTTCCCGGTTAACTCTTCGGCCTTCTGCAGCTATCTAGGGCGATTGGCTCGGCCAGTGTTAAGGGGACCAGCGGGTTCTGCCAGCATAGATATTAGTTGCTGGTGGTAGAGGTGTTAGTGGTGGTGGCTCCAAAGGCCTGGCGGAAGAGCTCCGTTTTACAGGCCCTGCAAAACTGTGAGAGATCCCACAGGACCCTGATCTCTTCTGGGAGCTCATTCCGCCAACGAAAAAGCCCTGGCCCTAGTCACCACCAGTCTGGCCTTCTTGAAGTTTGGGAGAGCCAGCTGATTCTGGGTCCCTGATTGCAGTGTCCTCTGGGGTACATATGGGGAAAGGTGGTCCCTCAGGTATGCAGGTCCCTGGCCATAAAGAGCTTTAAAGGTAAGAACCAGCACCTTGAATGAACCAAGTATGCTATAGGGAGCCAGTTGGGTGTAGTGGTGAAGTGTGCGGACTCTAATCTGGGAGAACCGGGTTTGAGTCCCCACTCCTCCACTTGCACCTGCTGATGTGACCTTGGGTCAGTCACAAGCTCTGGCACAGCTGTCCTTGGAAAAGAGCAGTTTCTGTCAATAGCTCTCTCAGCCCCACCCACCTCACAGGGTGTCTGTTGTGGGGAGGGGAAGGGAAAGGAGTTTGTAAGCCGCTCTGAGACTCCAAGTGAAGGGCGGGGTATAAATCCAATCTCCTCCTCCTCCTCCTCCTATAGGCAGCCAGTGCAGCATCTTTAGCACAGGTTGGATGTGCTCCCAAATTGTGATTCCCATCAACAACCTGGCCGCAGTGTTTTGCACCAGCTAAAGCTTCCGGATTTGCGACAAGGGCAGCCCCATGTAGAGGGCATTACACTAATCCAGTCTTGAGTTGACCATCACATGGATCACTGTTGCCAGGTCATTATGTTCAAGGAACGGAACCAACTGCCTGTTCAGCTGAAGGTGGTAAAAGGCTGACTTGGCAGTGGCTGCTACCTGGGCCTCCATTGTTAAGGAGGTGTCCAGGAGCACTGCCAAATCCCTAACCTCTGGCGCTGGCACGAGTGGTGCCCCATCAAAGGTCAGGAGTGGGATCCCTACCCTCAAACCACTCCGACTCAAGCACAGGACCTCCGTCTTCGTTGGATTCAATTTCAGCTGGCTCAGCCTAAGCCAACCAGCCACAGCTTGTAGCGCCCAATCTAGGTCATCCAGTTTGGATTCAGACTGGCCATCCAATGACAGATAGAAGAAGAAGAAGAGATTGGATTTATACCCCGCCCTTTACTACTCAAAGGTGTCTCAGAGCAGCTTACAAACTCCTTTCCCTTCCCCTCCCCACAACAGACACCCTGTGAGGTAGGTGGGGCTGAGAGAGCTCTTGACAGAAACTGCTCTTTTTCAAGAACAGCTCATTATCAGAACTACGGCTTGCCCAAGGTAATCCAGCCAGGTGCAAGTGGAGGAGTGGGGAATCAAACCCGGTTCTCCCAGATAAGAGTCCGCGCACTGGGTGTCTGCATATTGGTGTCAACTCAGCCCATGCCTCCGGACAATCTGGGCAAGAGGGTGCATATAGATATTAAAAAGCATCGGGGACAGCACAGCCCCTTGAGGCACTCCACATTCCAATGGGTGCCTTCGGGATAGCTGATCCCAAAGCGCCACTCTTTGTCCCCAGTCTTGGAGAAAAGAAACAAGCCAATGCAAGGCTAGTCCCTGAACTCCAATGTTGGTGAGGCAATGGGTCAGTAGCTGATGGTCGACCATGTTGAACACAGCCGACAGGTCTAACAACAGCAGCACTGCTGATCTGCCCCAATCCAGATGCCTCCAGAGGTCATCTGTGAGGATGACCAGTGCAGTCTCTGTCCCATGACCCGGGCAAAAGCCGGACTGGAAGGGATCTATTATCTTGCCTAAATAAGGCAAGTTGGAAACCGGCCGATAGTTAGCCAACTTGGCCGGATCCAAAGATGGCTTTTTCAAGAGGGGCACACCACTGCCTCCTTAAGTGCTTCCGGGAACAGCCTCAAAGAGGGACTTGTTGATAATCTCCCACAAGGCACCTCGGAACCCTTCGCGGCCAGCTTTAATTAGACACAACGGACACAGATCAAAGAGACATGTTATAGGGAGTACAGTGATGAGCAATTTGTCAACTTCCTCTAGGATTAGCAGGCTGAAATAATCCATAATGAGACAAGAAGACGTGCTTGGAGGCTCAAGTTCATTCACTGTTTCAACTGTAATGGGAGTGAGCTTAGAGCAGGGGTGCAGAGGGCACCAGGGAGTGATCTCTTCAATGGCTGTCGAGAGTTGGCTATGCCAGTCCTCTACAAGCTAATTCAGTGAGCTACCAGGGGGCTTTGGATCTTGGAGAGCCATCTGAAGCCGCACTGGGTCCATTTGGCTTCGCACGGGAGCCCAAATAGGCTCACCGCCCAAATAGGGACGGAGTGGGATATTCAGGTGGGCCTTCAAGGCAAAGTGATCCAACCATGGCACTGCCAAAGCAGTGATCCAGTCCACTGTAACCCCTGCCGCGAAGATCAAATCGAGCGTGTGCCCAGCCCGGTGGGTGGGGGCCATTACGAGTTGGGAGTAATGTTCCCTCTAAGTTGTGGAGTCTTGTGAGCCAAAAATTCTACTTTGTGAGCTGCTGGCATTAAAGTTGTGAGCAGGCAATTTGGTTACTGCATAAGTCAGTTTGCCTTGAAGTAATCCTTCCTGAGCTATGACAAAAATGTGTGAGCTGGAGACTAAAAAACTGTGAGCTAGCTCACACTAACTCAGCTTAGAGGGAACATTGGTTGGGAGAGTCCTAGGGCTGCCATGGATCACACCAGGTCTGCTGCCTGAGTGGAGGCCGTGTCATCAGCATGGACATTGAAATAACCCAAGACTATCAGTCTAGGGTGTTCCAAAGCCCAGCCTGATACAGCCTCCATCAGGGACGGTAGGCTATTGGCCAGTGTGCTGGGCAGTTGGTACACCAGCCAAATTGCCACACACTCCTCGGCTTCCCACACCAGGCCAGCACACTCTATGCCCATGATCCCCAGCAATGGGAGCGCCCTGAAGGAGTAAGCCTCCTGGATAAATAATGCCACTCCTCCCCCCCGCCCCTAGTTTGCAATTGGTGAAGGACCGAGAACCCGGGCAGAGCAACTTGGGAGAGAGAAACTGTCTTTCCCTCTCTCACCCAGGTCTCAGTCACGCATGCCAGGTCTACGTTCTGCTCCTGCATAAAATCCTGAAGGACTGTGGTCTTATTATTTATAGACATGGTGTTCCATAACACCAATGTCGGAGGGGGGTCAATCTTCCTAGCCCCACTGCCTGCAACCTTTGGGATGGGACATAGGTTGGAAGGAGGCCAAGCTAGATTATTTCTCTGCCCTTTTCCCTTAACTCTCTGCCTAGTTCCACTGCTGTACTTTCCCCTCCCCAGGATCACTGGTATTGCTTGCCCAGCCATCTCCTAGATGATCTTCGCTAAGCCACAGGCCAATCAGTGGGCTGGCCGTCATCACAATATACCATATATAGAAGGGGGGACGGTACTATAGTGGTTCTCCAAGTACAGCTATCCTATCAACTCCTAGCAATCTACTCTATCCGAATTACTTACTATCTTTAACCATATCTAATCTATCCTAAATCTAATCAATATTTGGCACTTTAACAATTTAGTATAATAATCTGATTCCTGGCCAGTGAATAAATAAATAAAGGCCAGTAAAGCTAATACATTCTTACCTAATTTGTCAGGTGAATAACCCCACAACAATAGGATAGTCTAATTCTAATATTAAATAATTAATTTAATATTCCAATGAATCAATTTAGTAATAGGATAGTCAATCTCACTTTACTTAATTAAATTAACAATCAAGGGAAACAATATGAAAGTATGACAATTCAAGAGAGTAAAAATACATTAAATGCTCTCTTTAGTTGATTACTATCTCCCTATTAGACCTCAAATTAATCACTTGTTAATACCATCAAATTAATTAACTTCCAATCTTAATTCAAATGGTCTAACAACATCCTTTGAGTAGGTAGGGCTGGCTGTACTTTCAATAGGTCATATTGCTGCAGTCTCCTGATCACCATTTGGTGTCTCCTTTGGCTGTGATATGTGGCTCTGTAGGTCTCCTCCCGGCGACATCGGGTTCAGGACGCCTGGCTCTCGTGTCCATGCCTCCTGGGTCCAAACACCTGTTCTCCGGACTCCCAACAGGCCCATCATTGTAGCACCTGAGTCCCCCGCCGATACAGCTCAGTGGGATCATATGCGGCTGGGCTAGTCCAAGGGGGGATGGAAAGTCTCCACAGTCTCCCCGACCAGCCCGCTGGCCATGCCATCTCACTAGGGAACAGAGTTGCCTCCCCAGGAGGCAGGGTTACCTCAGCGGTCACTGCAAATGGTGGGAAGTGGCAGGCAGAAAGCAGGGGTGACTGTCGCCGCAAACGGCACTGGCGCATGAGCCCAAAATGGTGACCACACCACTGTAGCTGAACTAACGAAACTCGGCAGCCACCACAAACCCAGCTGATGCCAGCCCACTGACCAGGTGAGTCCGAGGCGTTGTCTGGTTGTATCTCCGGGGCTAGGCCAATCTTGGACACTGGAGGTCTGTTTAATGAGCCCCGCTGAAGCGGAAGAAAATATAACTCAGTCTGGAAGTATGTAATAGTAAACAGTAAATGGAAGAATGTCCAATGTATGTTATTATGTTGATATATGTATTGTAATTAATGTAAATACGGGAAAAGAACTGAGGAAACTGAATGGAATCATATTTAACGGGTGTGATAAGATAATAGGATTCAGAATAGGAAGCAACTCTTGGTTAGAAATTAGGGATAACAGAAGTTAATGGATTAGTTTGAGAACACTTTCTATTATTAAGAATTTTGGGGGTGAATAATATAATAGATTGATGGAAAATAAGGTCAATAACCTGTATTATTGTTCACTAGAGGAATTAATTAATTGTGATATAAAAAAAGAAATGGTTCAAATAAAGACTTTGATCCACAGCACACTCTTCTAAATATTCTATCTTTTACAGATTTACTACATTTCATTAGATTAGCTGAGACCACTGTTTTGAAATTCATACTCTTTTCCCCTGACATTTTCACAGGGTGAATTAACCATGACCAGTGATATGGAGTCCTTACAAAATGCCATCTTCTTAGATACAGTGCCTGAGTCATGGACCAGGAGGGCTTATCCTTCCATGGCCGGTCTCTGTGGCTGGTTTGCTGACCTCCTCAATCGTATCAAGGAACTGGAGACATGGACAGGGGACTTCATGCTACCATCTGTGATGTGGTTGGCAGGCTTCTTCAACCCACAGTCTTTCTTGACAGCCATAATGCAGTCCATGGCCCGAAAAAACGAGTGGCCCCTGGACAAAATGACCCTACAGTGTGATGTGACCAAAAGAAATCGTGAGGATTTTACCAGCCCACCACGGGAAGGAGCATATGTCCACGGCTTGTTCATGGAGGGAGCACGCTGGGATATGCAGGTAAACATAAGCATTGAGGGGTGGCTACTAGAGGGTTAAATACTATGGCTTACAAGTGAAAGCCATGAGTCATTTAAATCAACAAAGTGCAGATTTGGTTAGTTAGCATAATTTATTCTAATTTCAGACTTTGGATTTTCTTGGAGCCAGGGCCGGCCTGCCCAATAGGTGAACAAGACTTTTGCCTAGAGTGGGCTGATCATGAGGGAGCCAAACTGCGCCCCCCACCAAAAGCCCTGTGTGCTGTGTCGCCCCCTGACCCCAGCTGCCAACGCCTCTTTCTCTCCCCCCAGCCATCTTCATCCTGAACTGCCCTGACGGCCACTGCCCCCCCCAAAGTCCCCGCCAAAAACAACCGCTCATAACCAGGGGGAGCCTCTCACCAGGCTCTGGCTCAACAGCAGCCCCCTCCCCCGGCTCAGAGGAAGCCCCAACTTCCATCCCTCCCCCCCGCAAAACTTCACCCGTCGGCCTGGCTGGAGAGACCAGACCTCCCCCCCGGCACAGCCCCCCCACCAAAGGGTCTGGAGGGAGCAGCGCTCTCAGCGCGCAGCCCTCTCGGCACGTAGCAGCCCCGCACAGTGGCCAAGGAGGAGATGGGCTGGTGGGCAGGCGCTCTGCAGGAGCGTCAAGGTGGGTCCCCAGGCTAAGTGTCCCTCCTGGGAGCGACCCTCCCCCCAAGCACTTCCCCTCCAAGCATCGCGAATGCCCTCTGGCCCCTGCCACCGCTGTCCACCCACCCCCAGCATGGCTTTCTCTCCTGCCTCCAGGCTGGGAACAATAAAAATGTCACTCAAAAAAATTCGGTTTTTTTTTTAAAAAAACACAACCCTATCAGTATTTATACCCCCACCTTCCTCCCCAGTGTGGACCCAAAGTGGCATACACCATTCTGCTATCCTCTTTTTTAACTTCACAACAATCCTGTGAGATAGGTTAGATTGAGAGTGTATAATTGACCCAAGGTCACTCAGCGAGCTTCCATGGCAGAGGGTGGATTCAGACCTGGGTCACCCAGATCCTAGTCAGACACTCAACCACATCAGCTCTCTTTTGTGGGTAGCAGCATGATTTGAGGGCTTTTGACATCTCAAGTAAGAGCATCAGTACCAATTTCCCAATCAGTCCCTGAAAGTACTTCTTTCTGTACTACTAAATGCTAAGCAATAATTTGGCATTCCTTTTCTGTGCCTGTGTGTTCATTTCCCCCCCAGTAGAGAAGGGGAAAAAAGACATTCCTAGTCTATTCAAGTGGACCCTTTGATTCTGTCCTGTAGCTCAGTGAGCCATTCTTGTGGGTACACATCTGGGTGACAATATGAAGAATTAACAACTCAGACATATGCATTCTGTCTTTCTGGGCTGCATACCCACTAGAAATTAATCCTTTGGTAAGAACATGAGCTCTGAAGTTCAGAGTAATCGCTTTGGGGAGCTATTCTTCTTTGCAAAAAGAAATTTCACTTAAGGTGACAACTCTAGCCAAAGACAGCAATTCCCCTATTGCCCTCTATGCAGATGACTGTACTATATTTATGTACATATTCATATTACTGTGTGGGTGGCTTACATTTATGGACCCATCTATAACAGCCACCTACTTAACAAATGAAAACCAAACAGATTTTACAAGGGCCTATATTCCTTGCTAGTATAAATTTTCCTGAAGGCAGATGAATTGTGTGTGGTAAGAGCCTTACTTCTCACCATAGGGAAAAAACCATTAGTCCTACACTGTGGAAAGAATAGCCAAACAGAATTCTGTCACTCAGTGACTGCTCCATTTGAGCTCCTTTCTTCCCATCTTTTTTCTTGCTATTGGCAGAAAAAGAGAGAGATTTTTGGAGGCTAGTAGTTTTGTGGAAGTCAAATAACAAAGACTACACCAATGGCATTTTAATTGGAAAGATTATCTCCCCCTTCCTGGACAGGAGCCTGCTTACACTTCAATCATTAACTCATAAATAACACACACCAATGCTTCTGAAGGAGACAAGGGATCAAGTCCCCTGAATGGTTATTCTCCCTACACATATGCATGTATGTTCATCATCAATTTTCTGTGCAATCCCATATGGGGACTGTACATGAGCAAGTCTGCCATCGGATAGGTCTTTATAGCTAAAAGTCTCTGGGGGCACTGTGCGCCAGAGCCAAAAGCTTGTGTGTCCCCCCCAGGGACCACATGCTTTTTTACAGCAGTACCTGCATCCTCAGTTCCTCTTTTGCTGCTGGAGAAGGTTGTGTTTTCTGGAGTCTCCAGCTACAGTCGTGTTGCAGAGAAATTGGTCCAGATTTGTTTGCTTCTGAGTTCATTCCATGGCTCAGAAGGCCCTTTTCAAGAAATGCTCCCACTGTGGGGAGAAGATGACCCAAACTGACAAACATGAACTATGTGTGTTCTGTTTGGGTGAAAGGCACAGTGTCTTCTCATGTAAGGCCTGCCAATGCTTCACCCATAAAGCTCAAGGGGACAGGGTATCAAAACTTAAGGTAGGATTGTAGGAGAAAGCACTTAAATCCTTGGAACCCTTGTCCAAGTTGGCCCTGGAGAAAGCTCTCAACTCTGTGTCTTCGGAATTGATATGTTTGATTCCACCTCCCGGATCCATGTATCAGTGAATCTGATCTCAGTTGCATTCCCCTCCACCTCATCGTGCTTATTCTGAGCCACCAGCCAAAAAGGTTGAAATGGAAGGACAAGGAGAAATGCAAATCAGCCTCCCAGCAGAGTGCTACTGTCTGTACTCCTGAGCCTACACCAACCTTGCAGGAGAAACCCAGAACTCCGTCTCTGGGTCTGTAATCCCCACCTGTTTCTATTTTAGGTGGGGACATGGAGGTGAGCTTAGTAGCTGGTCAGGCTCTGTGTGAGTGCAATCTGGAGCAAATGGCCATGGTGCTGTGGTCTCAGCCCCATTTGCCTATGCAGTGGCCTTCACACCCATACATGATGTCTCCAGGATATATGAAAGAATGGAGTGACAACTTTGCAAACCCCAGGGACACACATTTATATCATTACCCTCATTGGGTGTCATCGTAGCCAACAGTCATGCACAGGCCACATTCTCCTATACCTACAGTAAGGGGAGAAGAGGCAGCTATCGAATCTGACAGATCTGACACAATATTGGATCCAAGCTCAGATGAGAGGGTAGGCAAGCCATCTCCGGCATCTCCCATGGAGGATCTCAAAATGTTTGGAGAACAGATTATTCATATGACTCAGTCTCTTGAGACGGAAGTCATTACCTCAGAGCACAAACCAAAAGATAAGCTACTGAGTCGCCTCTACTCAGAATCCACCAGTATTATTCCCGGTGTTGGAGGGTTTCAAGGACCTCACACTGTGGCAAAAGCCTGTGTCTCTCCAGCCTATCTCAAGAAGAGTAAAACATTTTTATAAGATCAAAAAGGAGCCATTTAACTACCTACTGATTCATCCTCCACGATCTGCCGTGGTTATGGAGGAGATGCAGCCAAAGGGCCACCAAGCCTACCACTCCGCTCCCACAGATAGAGAGGGAAGAAAGCTGGATACCCTGGGTCAGATATTCCTTAGCAGCTTTAAGTTTCAAAATCTCTAACTGTGAGACCATTATGACTGGTTACCAGCTCTTTTTATGGGAGAGGATTTTTCCATTCCTGGAACTCCTGCCAGAAGATAAGCGTCCCCTCACTAAGGTTCCGGGATGGAATTACATGGAATCTGCTGCGCGGGCCATGGTGAACTCAGTTGTGCTCAGATGCCACATGTGGTTAAGATCAATGGCATTAGCTATGGAAACCAAGCTTAAAGTTAAGGAATTACCCTTCGAAGGTTCCATTATCTTCTCTGTCAAGACAGATGAGACACTGTCCCCGATAAAGAAGAACAAGCAGACAGCTAATTTTCTGGAAGTGTCACAACTGTCCGCATCCCAATTTAAACAGAGGCGCTTTGTGGGACAGACCTGGCATCCATATCAAAGGGACTATTGTTTTTCTGGTTCCTAGGGGTCTCAGGATCCTACCCAGGCCTGTAGCCACAGTGAGGCATTTGGGGGCTGGGCCCCCCGACTTCCTTTAAATACCCTGGCCAAACTCCCCCTGCACCACCGCAGCGGCTGCGCCACCTCTCCTTGCCTTCCTCATCCAGGAACAGCTGCTATGGCTGCGGGGTGTGTGTGTGTGCTGGGGCCGGGGCACTGGGATGTCGTGGGGCACAAAGGCCCATGATGGGGGTGGTTCCTCTCTATCCTCCTCAGTCAAGGTGCGCAAGGCGGCAGTGGCTGCTTCCCGGGCCTGGCCTGCTGCTGCTGCTAACAGTAGCGTTGGAGAGGAGGAGGAGGCCCCTGAGTGGGCCATGGCAGGCAGGGGCTGCCTGGGGGTTGGACGAGGCATAGAAAGCCGGGGGGAAGCAAAAGCCAATAAAGCAAAAGCAAAACAAACTCGCTCCTCCAGTTCGAGTATTTGGTGATGCCTTTTGGATTGCAGGGAGCACCGGAGGTGTTTATGAACTTGATCAATGAAGTGTTGCATAAGTACCTATTTAACAGGGCCCTTGTTTACCTGGATGATATCCTTTTATATTCCCAAGATATCAAATCCCATGTGGCCCTAGTGAGGGAGGTGTTGAAAACCCTCTATGACCACCAATTGTTTGCAAAACTGTCCAAGTGTGAGTTCTACAAAAATATCCGGCCGTGGGCTGAAAATGGACCCCAATAAAGTGGCTGACCTATTGGGGTTGGAGCCCCCCAAGACGCGCAGGCAGCTCCAATCATTTCTCAGATTTTCAAACTTTTATAGGCCTTTCATTGAATCTAATAAGACCAGAAGGCTGCAGGATTATCTTGCAGTGCAGAATGTTGATTTGGCTTGCATGACGAAGACCTGGGTTAGGGAGCGCGAAACAGTCGCCTTAAAAGAGATGAAGCTGCCGCCTCTATTCAGGCTTCAGACCTGGTGTCTTCCATGGCAGCACTAGGGCTCTCCCAGTTTGTTTCAGGTCCTACACACCAAGCAGGCCACACGTTGGATTTGATCTTTGGCATGGGGATGGATGTGGATCTGACTCTGAAGGAACAGGTGACATGGTCAGACCACTTGGTTCTGAAGGCCCGCAGAGACTATTGGACTCAATTGGGTTTCAGAATGTTCTGTGGGATCCCATACCTTCCAGTGCCTCATTAGATGAGCTGATAGAAGAATATAATTCCAGTCTTTCTGAAACCATTGAAAAGATTGCTCCCCGACGTCTTCTGTGCTCCTGTGGGAAAATATCCCCCTGGTATACAGCAGAACTCAGGGGGATGAAACAGGAACTCAGATTACTTGAGTGAGTTTGGCGGCGTACTTGCGACAAAGCTACAAGAGCATCTTATAGGACACTTATGAAATCCTATGAGGTGGCGGTGAAGGCTGCAAAGAGGGAATTCTACTCAGCCTCCATTGCTTCCCCTAGCTCTTGCCCAGCACAATTATTTAGGGTGATTAGATCCTTGACATCCCTCACTGTGAGCCACCAAAATGGACATAGAAATTTGGCTGTTCGTTCTGAGACATTTATGAGCTTTTTTGCAGATAAAGTCTTGTTGCTCCACCATGATTTACCTGTCAATGTCTTCAGATTCAGTTTTTGAGTCCTTCAACCTGCTTTTGCCTGCCGATGTTGACAGGGTCCTGGGTTTGGTTAAGCCAGCCACATGCCTCCTTGATCCATGTCCCTCATGGCTAGTCAAGGCTGGCAATGAGAGGCTACGAGGCCCTATGATGGATATTATCAACCGGTCCCTGGAAACAGGGATCTTTCCAGATGATCTCAAGGAAGCTGTGGTAGTACCACTATTGAAAAAAACTATCATTGGATCCTCTAGATCCAGCCAATTACCACCCAGTTTCAAACTTACCATTTCTGGGTAAGGTGATTGAGAGAGTGGTAGCGGAACAGCTCCAGGGTTTCCTGGATGACACATCGGCACTAGATCCATTCCAGTCTGGCTTCCGTTGCAGCCATGGGATGGAGACTGCGTTGGTCACCTTGACAGCTGGATCGAGGCGGGTCGGCACTGCTGTTACTGCTTGATCTTACAGCAGCATTTGACACAGTCGACTATGATCTTTTGACTCACTGCCTCACTGATGCAGGAGTATGTGGGGTGGCCCTTCAATAGCTTTCCTCATTTCTCCATGGTTGGGGACAGAGGGTGGCACTGGGTGAGGATGTGTCCTCTAGACAACCCTTAGTATGTGGGGTTCCTCAGGGGGCACTCCTCTCCCCAATGTTATTTAACATCTACATGTGCCCCCTCGCCCAGCTGGCAAGGGGTTTCGGGCTTGGTGACATCAATATGCAGATGACACCCAGCTGTATCTCTTATTGGACGGCTGGCCAGCTACCGCCCCACAAAGTCTGGCTGAGGGATTGGAGGCCATGGTGGGGTTGCTAAAAAAAGCAGGCTGACAATCCATCGAAGATGGAGGTTCTGTGGCTGGGGGGGATTTGACGACTGGAGTTCAGGTTACCAACTCTGGTTGGGGCGCCATTGACACTTGCACCATCTGTCAAGAGTTTGGGTGTGACCTTGGATGTCTCCTTATTGATGGAGGCTCAGGTCACGCATATTGCCAGGCAGGCATTTTTTTACCTTCATCAAGCCCGGCAGCTGGCTCCCTTCCTGTCATGCCCTGACCTAGCCACAATAATCCATGTGATGGTTACCTCCAGGCTAGACTGCTATAACTCACTCCACGCTGGCCTACCCTTGAGACTGATTTGGAAACTTCAGCTGGTTCAGAATACAGCAGCGCGAGTCCTGACAGCACACATTCAACTGGTGCTGCACCAGCTACACTGGCTGCCAGTAAAGTACCAGGTCAGGTTCAAGGTTTTGGTATTGACCTTTAAGGCCTTGAGTGGTCTGGGGCCAACGTACCTACAGGACCGCCTTCTGCACTATGTCCCTAGAAGAGCTTTTTGCTCCATTCATAATATCTTACTGATGATTCCTGGCCCATGTCTGACTGTCCTTGACCAGGGCCAGGGCCTTTTCAGTCCTGGCCCCAACCTAGTGGAACTCTCTGCCGAATGACACCAGGGCCCTGCGGGACCTTGTGCAATTCTGCAGGGCTTGTAAATCAGAGATGTTCCGCCAGGCTTTTGGTTGAGGACAGTTGGTTATACTGGCTGGCACCCTTTCCCCCTTTCCCTCTCTTCTTGTATGTATATTTTGTTTCTATGCCCCCCACCATATACCAAGTAGTCCAGAAAGGAATAGAAAACTGTAAATCGCCATCTGGGATCTTATTCTGGTTTTATTCTTAATAACTGTTTTGGGTTTTAAAAATTTGTATTTTGTTTTATGGCATTACTAAGAATAAGGCCAATTGTGGAAATAAATACAATGAGCTCTAGAAAGAGGCTCTGGAAGAGTGCCAAGGCCTTGGGCACTCAGCGTCAATGTGCTGTGGCGACCTTAACGGTGTAATAACACAGAGTCCACCATTTTATCCAGAGGAACTGATCTCTGCTACCTGAAGAGCAGTTGTAATTTTCAGTGATCTCCACCCCTCTCCTGAGATTGACAACAGTGGTTTCCCAGAAGGGAATGGCTGGTTCAGAGGGTGTAGTCTATGGCATTGTACCTGTCTGAGGTCCCACCCCTCCTCTAACCTCACCCTCTCCAGGTTCCATCCTCAAATCTCCAGGAATTTCCCACCTGGGGTTGGCAACCCTATCTCCTTCCCAGCCAATCATCAACTTACCTTTGTTTCCCCCTCTCTCTTCAGCTTTCCATTTCCCCCCCACACACCTGCAGCCTCTTCCATGCTCTGAAGCCCTGACTGCCACAGAGTCCACCGTTTTCTCCAGGGGAACTGACCTCTGCCATCTGGAGATCAGTTGTAATTCTGAGTGATCTCCAGCCCTCACCTGGAGATTGGCAACAATGGTTTCCCAGGAGGAAAAGTAGTCTTTCTCTGCAATGGGGACCAAAGCGGCTTACGTCATTCTCCTCTCCCCCTTTTGACTTGCACAACAACCACGTGAGGTAGGTTAGGCTGAAAGTCTGTGACTGTTCCAAAATCCCCCACTCAGCTTCTACAGCAAGAAGCTGGATCTAGCAGACCCTGCTCTGAAGCACTGACTGCTACACCTAGGGCAGCCAACCCCCAATGGACAAACATAAAGAAATACCGTGTTAGAACAAAACAGACTCTGCTAATATGGACTTGTGTCTTCATATATTGATTTACATACAATAGAGACCCTAGTATATCTTACACACATTCATTATAGTGCAAAAACCTAAAGTCCACAGCTACAGAGACCTATTCCAATGCTGTAGACTATCTTGCTCCTGATAAGAGACTGATGGAGGTTGCAACAATTGTAAATGATGAGAGATGCAGCAGGCTGTTATATTCTCCACAAAAACTAATTCAGCAAGCATCAAAGCAAGCAACATGCCTCCTAGGCAAAAATTGCGTGTTTCGACAGATTCTTCTTCAGGCAGACATATTTTTCCTGGAACCAAAGCTCACAAGTTTACAGTGCATAAGTCAACAATTCTATAGAAGGCTTCTCCGGTTCTCCATGGGAACACCCCAGAAAGACCACTCTAATAAAGCATCATTTACGACTATTGCAACTAGTCAAACCCACATCTAGCAGTCTACCAGTAAGCCTACTTTTGGCAGTTTTACAGCACTGTGGTTCACAGGGGTTTGAGCTGAGCTCAGTGTGCAGGGAAGCAGTCACACAAATTCTATATGTTAAGGAAACTCTGCATAAATCCACTGAGTCCACATTCTCAATGAGGCAATTTGATCATTTGAACTGATGCTTGGTAACTAAGTAACTCAGCTGGAAAAAGTTCACAGTCTTGATCAGTCAGCTTGGATATTACTCTGACAGAATCAACTGCTCCAGGGGCCTAGGAGAAATGTAGGTCAAGGAACAGTTAAATAACAGATAACAGGATACAGTAGATTCTACAAAGGCAATAGAGGCATGTGGGTGCATCAGGAATGATTCAAGAAATGGAGCCTTTGATAATCTTATCTCACATTTCCTCACTATCCTCCAAAGACAGGTTTAATTGCCGATGCCCGCCTGAAGGACCTTACTCCATCAATGCCGATCATTTTCATCAGAGCCATCCCTGTTGATAAGCAAGACAACCGCAACGTGTACCCTTGTCCTGTGTATAAAACCCGCCAACGAGGACCAACCTATGTCTGGACCTTTAACCTGAAGACCAAAGAGAAACCTTCCAAGTGGGTTTTAGCAGGAGTGGCACTCCTCCTACAAATTTAGACTCCAACTCAAATGCACTTTTCACAATAGACTGGACAAAAAAAGGCCACTGTGTCTTCTTTTGGAAATGCTTCACAAATGGAATTAACCTGAGGCTGGTTCACATGACCACAAGTTACAGTGTACCTTGTGCACTTGATTTTTCTGTGTTGTGTGCAGGGCTTTTTTTTCTGGAAAAAGAGGTGCCGGAACTCTCAAGAAGGAAATGAAATTTTCAATCTGTATACTGAAAACTCATGAACTTTTAAACAATTTTAAAAGAATTTTGTCAAAGAGATTCTGGAACTCCTTTCCAGTGTGTTCCCCCAGGAAAAAAAAGCCCTGGGTGTCTGTGTTGAGTAATTCTTGTGTTATGTTCAGTGCACATATAACTCAACATGTGATTTAAACCCCACATTTATCCAGGTACTGATCCCTGTTACAGTTGTAAAGTTAAGATGCATTGGCTGTTTCTTATAAACAGATATACACATGTACATGCAGGACATACATGTGTTCACTGTGACATCTGAAAAAGGGCTATGATGAATATACCATCGCATTGTAACATGGGAGGGGCTGTTGCTTAGTGGTAGAGCATCTACTTGGCATGCAGAAGGTCCCAGGTTCAATCCCTAGCATCTCCACTTAAAGGATCAAGTAGGCAGTTTCATGTGATCATGAGAATTTACATTTACAAATGAACCATCACAAATCATTAATCACTGGCGCAGATAAAACTTCCATATTATCATTTGTCTCAGTCACAAAGCTTGCCAATGAAATCAGTTTACATATTTATCAAAGGCAAACTAATCAAGGGCTATACATGCATGTGTGAATCATTCTCAATGAAGAGTTTATTTGCTTAGTTTCTTTCTCTTCCTTTGTGGCCCACCCATGGCAACCTGTCTGCTGTGTTCTATAACTTTCAGGTAGAAGAAAAGCACAGCTCCTGTTCAGGTATTTTGTGCTGGAGTTGATTGTACTTGATTGTAATGTATTGTTGTATTGGTTATTTGTAAGCTGCCTTGGAACCCAAGTTGTAATAAAGGTGGAATAGAATCTTAAAATAAATAAAGCCATTGAATATTTAACTGCAGTTTCAAAATGTTGCAGATCCTTTAAACATGGAGTCCTACGTTAACAAGCAAACTTCGCCATGGACAATGCAAAGTTACGGTCAGATCCCCAGCTAATACACTCTCCACACACACTATTGGCAGTGAAATGCTTTATTGAAGATATGCTTGCTGTAGGTTCAAGAACTTTTGTTAGGACGAAAGAAAACCATGGGAACTTACTGTTTATAGGTAAATGCACAAAATTCCACACTCTCATACATTTCTATGGCAACAGAGATCTACCCTATCTACCCTAGCCTAGGCACAGAGATTCACCAAGGTCAATCACGAGAACTAATTATTGGGGCACAACTTAAGGAATGATTATGGCTACTCATTATGCACTCCAACAACAACAACCCCCTGAATTCAAAATGACAACCGAAGGGAAAGGAAAGCAAAACTTAAGGAATCGAAAGGCCTGAGCTTGATATACTGCCCCCCCAAGGCCCCTCAGCCACCCAGCTGATGGGGATGAGTATGATGAAACTCTTTAATAAGGCAAGAAGCTCTAATATGCTTAGTTAAAACCCACTTCACAATGAGTTCGCCGTTGATCAGGAGAGGAGGAGGTGCTGGAAGATAAGTCCAAGTCTAGGGTCTAGGGTCCTTCTTTAACAAGCTGAAATGAAACACAGGGTGCACAGAATGCAAAGTTTTAGGTAGTTCCACTTCAACAGCAACCTTATTGATCACACAGATCACCTTAAAAGGTCTAATGTACTTCCACCCTAGCTTTCACCCTGGTTGTAGAACCCTCACGTGCTTGGTAGAAATGTACACAGAGTCCCCAGGAGCCAGATCCCACTCAGGGCTCCTGGTTTTGTAAGCATAATGTTTGTAATCCTCCTTAGCTTTATTCAAAATTTTCTGAATCCCAACAATTAGTTACAGAAGACCACTAGAGCTGGGCATCTCCCTTTATTGGTTCACTCAGGTTCATTGTAGGCAAGGGACCCCCTCATGTCCATGTACTGCTTTGAAGGGGGACATCCCTATAGAACTATGGATAGAATTATTGTAGCTGTACTCTTCAAACGGTAGGAGTTGAACCCAATCATCCTGCTGGTGGTTAATGAAACATCTGTGGAACTGTTCTAACACTGGGTTAGTGCGCTCTGTTTGACCATCAGTCTCTGAGTGATGGCTACTACTCAGTCCTTGTTCCACACCTGTAACTGTTTGGTGTTTGGTGTTAAGGCAGTGTGGGCTCTTGAGGGCCTCCAGGCTCTTGAGGGTCTCCAGGTGGAGGTGGAGAGTGCTAACTCTTTGTCCCACACTGCCCAGTTCCTCTCTGCCCCCGAGAACTTTTTGGACACATAAGCAAGTGGGTGCACTTTTCCGTCATTTCCCTTCTGCAAAATCTCCCCTCCATTGCCACATCTGACGCATCCACCTGTACAATATACACTTTGGTTTCATCTGGGTGGTGGAGGATGGGCTCTGAAGTGAATAATGTTTTTAGTTTATTAAAGGCTAACTGGCACTCTGGGGACCACACCAATTTTGCCCCTCCTTTCTTACTGTCCGGCCCCAGTCCCTTTGTTTTCAACAAGTCAGTCATTGGTAAAGTCACTTTGGGCAAAATTGGGAATAAATGTGCGATAGAAGTTAGCGAATCCTAAGAAGGATTGTAATTGCCTTCGGGTATGTGGGGGCTTCCACCCCACCATGTCCTGGACTTTTTGGGGATCCATGCCCAGCCCCTCCTGAGTGGTAGCCTAAAAAGTCTATTTTTCCTTATTGAATTCACACTTTGAAAGCTTGGCATAGAGGTGGTTGTCATATAGCACTATGAGGACCTCTCTCACCAGTTTCAAGTCATGTGTGACTCCTGAGTCTTGTGAATACACTAACACAGCATCTAAATAAACAACCACCCCCTTTAATAGGCCGCCACACATCTCACACGGAGGAGGGTGCCCCCTGCCACCTAAGGGAAGATACCCATTTATCTACTTGCTTTATTTTTACTGCTTTCGAACCGTTGGGTGGGCGATAGATAGGACTAGGGCCGGGAGCTCACCCCGGGCACGGTGGGTCTCAAACAGCCATAGTGGCTGTTCGTTGATGTTACTGCAGGCGTTTTACCGCACTAGGATCTCACCGATTCTGGGGATTACAGACCTGGCTGGTGCCCTTCACAGCAGGTCCTGGCCTTTCCCCTGCACCTGAGGCTCCTCACCCTTGCTGGAGGACATTCCTCCTGAGGTAGTGTACTCCACCTCCTGCAAAGCTTTGGGTGACTTGGGTCTCTTCCCTGCTGGCTTCACTTTCTTGTCACGGTGCTCCTTACATCCCTTTCAGTCCTCACTCTGGGTCCAGGTGCAATGCATGGCGAAGTGCCCAGCTTTTCCGCAGTGCAGGCACAACCCCTTCTTCAATCGATGCTTCTGAACCCCTACGGGTAGTGGTCCTCTACCCCGAGTCATCCTTGGACCCCCGCTGCCATGGCTGGGCATCTTATGTTGGTACAGCTTCACCAAGTTATGCCTATTATCCACCTCACAGGGCACTTGGATACAACTCACCAAGTTATGGGGTTGTCTTGAGCCAGTGCCTTCTTCGAGGGTGTTCAGGCCAGCCTGGTAAAACTCGATCAGGACCTCTTCAGGCCACCTTTGGAGTTTGACCCTCGTGGCTTTTAACTCGTACTGAGTGAGTTCCCTGGGGTATGCCGCGCAACCGGGTGCGGGCTTTCTCCAACTCTAGTGGGTCTTAAAATTGGTGTCTCAGGGCTTGCATAAAGGCATCGACATCCCGTAGCTCCAGGGCAATGACATTGTAAAGCCCCACAAAGCCTGGAATCCACAAAATCCATACGTTGTTCATCAGAAGCGAAGGTGTGGCCCCACTTGTGTAACATCTTCCGCACCTTGATCACAAAGAACGCCAGCTTCTCCGGGCTGCTGTTGAAGGTGGTCTCCAATGCATCGTGAGGCTGCTCACACTCCGCATTGGCTCTTCGAAGTGGTGGGGGATTTTCGGGCTCATCCTCACTTTTCTCATCTTCCTCAGAGGTCTCCGAAACCTCTTTCTCCATCGGCTCTTTTACCAGCTTAGGAAGGTTCGTTACCAGGTTCTGGAACCCTGCCTTTAACTCCTTGAGGTCAGATTGGATGCTGGCTTGGCCCCGCTCCATTGCCGGTTCCTCCACTGAGTCCTCTTGCATCTTGCCCAGGTCTGGGACACTATAGAAGGTGCGGGAGACATGGCGCCTCTCACAATCAGCTTTTCCTTGGTTCCCTCAGAATCCTGGGGTGCTTGCCAGCCAAGCAGGATCATCCCAACGATCAGGGCTGTCTCATCTCTTAGAAGGGTTGAAGAGGACGTGCTTCTTAGGCCTGGCACCTAGAGCTTTCCTGTCTCTCTTCTTATCGGAGTCGGCCATGGGGTGCTCAGGTTCGGATCTGGTGATTGCGCTCACCCTGCCATCTCCATCACCATTCCCCATGCCTTTGAAGGATGGGGTCTGGGGGGGAGAGAAATGAAGGACTCCTAACAATCTGTCAGGTCCCCAGCTAATACACTCTCACACTATTGGCAGTGAAATGCTTTATCAAAGATATGCTTTATTTAAGTTATGTTCAAGAACTTTTGTTAGGACTAAAGAAATCTGTGGGAACTTACAGGTGATAGGTAAAAGCACAAAATCCCACACTCTCATACATCACATCTAACCCCCAGTGCTTCTATGGCAACACAGATATATAGATATATCTATCCTAGCCTAGGCAGAGAGATTCACCAAGGTCAACCACACGAGAACCAACTCCTGGGGCACAACTTAAGGAATGATTACTACTACTCCCATGCACTCCAACAACACAGACACACACCCAGGAATTTAAAACGACAAGTGAAGGGAAAGCAAAGCAAAACGTAAGGAATTGAAAGTTAGGCTGGAGCTTGACAGTTACATTGTGCTGGCTCTTTCTTATGGGAAAGGATTAAGTCATCCTGAATTATTGTCCTGAAACTAAATAATGTAACCGATTTAAAACAAGACTGATTTAAAGAGGTTACTAGGTATTGAAGTTTTTGTATGGAAATGGAGACTGGTGACAATCATCCATTGTGCAAATTAGAGTGTTTCCTTTTACTTCAATAGAGTCAAGTCATTTATACTGTAGAATCAAGTACAGGATTATCCCCTGCACAGAGAGAAAGGATTAATTCTACTTCAGCTATCCATGAAAAGTGCTTATCATGCTAGACAAAGCCAGTTAAAGATTTGCCCTAATGTCATACAACATCTTGAGGCATTAAGGAGCCAAGTCTGACACCTTCTTTCACAGCTTGTTCATTTTTACAGAAGATT